TTTTTTTTTTTTTTTGGTACCGGGGATTGAACTTGGGTCCTTGTGCTTGCAAAGTAGGCACCTGAACCACTGAGCTAAATCCCCGGCCCGCCTTGGACTCACTATGCAGCTCAGGCTGTCCTTGAACTCCCAACAATCCTCCTGCCTCAGCCTCCTGAGTCCTGGGATTACAAGCATGTGCCACCATGCCTGGCTAATATTTAACCTTTTTTTTTTTTTTTTTTTTTTTTGTTCTTGTGTATGAACTCAGGACTTTGCACTTGTAGGGTGGGGGTGGTGACACTAAGCCAAATCCCCAGCCCCAATATTTAACTTTTTAAGGTATTATCAAACCGTTTTCAGAAGTCCTCGTACCATTTTACATTTCCGCCAACAGCACCTGTGGGTGTCAGTTTTTCATATACATGTGCTCTACCTGCCTAGCCGCATCTGCCAGCCCCACATGCTGTAATCTTAGACCTGAATACACCTCCAGTGGTTCCTCACTGTGGATGGGACAGAAGCTGGGGCTGAGTGCAGGCATGGTGGTGCACGCCTGTAATCCCAGCACTTGGGAGGCTGAGGCAGGAGAATCACCATGAGTTCAAAGCCAGCCTGGGCTACATAGAGAGTTCAAGGACAACCTAGATTACACAGTGAGGCATTGTCTCGAAATAATTTTTAAAAAAACTTTTAATTTCTTTTTTTGTTTTTATTCTTTTTTTATTACCGGGGATCGAACTCTGGTCCTTGTGCTTGCGAGGCAGGCAGTGGAACCACTGAGCTAAATCTACCCAGCCCTCTTTCAAAAGTTTGATGATTTTTTGAGGTAGGTTTTATGCATCTTTGTGAGGATTTTTTTTAAATGGACAGGGTCTTGCTTTGTATGTAGTTCAGGCTGACTTTGAACTCCCTATGTAGCCCAGGCTGGCCTCAAACTCACAGCAGTCCTCCTGCCTCAGCTTCCCAAGTGCTGGGATTGCAGGCATGTGCCACCATGCCCAGCTGAGATCCTTCCCTAAGTATTTCATTTCCATGCTTCTTGATGTCTTTCTAAATGACATTTTTAAAATGTCATTTAGAAATACAAATACAATCTAATTCTGATTTCTTCTTTTCTTTTTTGGTACCGGGGATTGAACTCCGGTCCTTGCGCTGTTGCAAGGCAGGCCACCGAACCGCTGAGCTAAATCCCCGGCCCTGCTTTGGGAAATTTTTTAAGAAATCGGAAATGGATGTTGGAGTCTGTCAAATGCTAGAACGCCTCTTTATGATCCAAGACAGTTGCGGCACCCCCTCCCATTTCCAACAAGTGAGAAACAGGGGCGGTGCTTGGTAAATTTTTCTGCATTTATCGAGATTTTGTTTATGTTTGGTGACTATCCACCCCGTATCCTGTTACTATAGTGAAATATGTTTATTTCAAACGTTCTTGAAAATTCCTTTCAGTCTGAGTTTTTGTTTTCTCTGTAAAACGGGACAAAATAACTCCACGCATATTTGAGGCCAGAATGTACTGGCATATGAAAAAGACCTGGCTCAAATCCCTGGCATAGTCGGCACGCAATTTAAGTTTGTTTATAATTTTTGTTTTTGCTTTTTTGGTACCAGGGATCAAACTCAGGTCCTTGTGCTTGCGAGGCAGGTGCTGGAACCACTAAGCTAAATCCCTGGCCCAGTTTGTAATTTACAGACGGTAGCACAAATATCTACGTTCTTTTTTTTTTTGTAAATTGAATTTATTGGTACATTTTAGGTACAGAGAATATCTACTTTCTTATTTCACACACCGCCTTCTGCTTTCACATGCTGAAACTGTCTCAGCCGAACGCGTAGTGGACTGGTCCGCCTAGTTCCGCTTCCGGGTCTCCCGTCCCCTCGGCAACAGAAATTGACCAATTGGCTGTGAGACCTTCGTTAGCCCCGCCCTCAGATTGAAACTGCCGCTTTGGGACACCCATTAGAGCTGGCTGTGTCAGGGTCCCGCCCCTCCTTTGACCAATCAGAATAGCCATTGTAGGACCCGCCCCGTCCGCGCACACCCTGTGCAGGATTCGGCAGAACCCTGGACTGTTGAGGGGCTCTGGAGCTGCGGGGGGGTGAGCGCGGTGGCGGCAGCCCAGGGAGTGGTCGGCTGGAGGGCCACATACGTTCCCACATCAGGTGGCTCGGGTCCGCGATGGGCGCCTCGGTGTCGCCTGCCCTGGCTCCGTCCGTTACTGCTGCGCCTCTTTTGAACGACGCCTTCGTTTGGCTTCTCGTTTTCATTCTCCCAGGGGCAGCCGAGTGAAGCAGCGGAAACAGAGACCTCGGTGCTGCGGCGTTTCCCAGCAGCGCCAGACCCGGGTGAAGGGCGGTCTCTGGTCTGCACCCCCGGACTCGTGTGATCGGCTCAGCGCAGGCCCCGGTGGCGACTGACCCCAGGTGAGGTGTGGGTGTGAGGGCTCTGGAGTGCAGGATGGCGGGTGTTTGCAGAAATCGCATCCAGAGGCGAGTGTGTGTCCCTGTGCCGGCAGGAGAAGGGTGAGGAGGAGGAGGAGGAGGAGGAGGAGTAGCTTGCCTTCCGGTCCTCTCTGCACACTGCTATCTATGGAAAGTCCTTCTGACCCTGCACCCTGGACCTAGAATTGGTTCCAATCCTGGCTTTGCCTCTGAGTAGCTGTGTGACTCGGGACACATTGCTTAACTTCTCTGAGCTTTGCGCTTCATCTGTGAAAATAAAGGAAACAGGCTGGGGGCGTAGCTTCTTTGCAGAGCACACCATTAGTGTGCTGCAGGCCCTGGGTTCAATCCCCAGCACCAAGAAGCCAAACCAAAAAGAAAGTGTGGAGGGGAGGAGGGCGGGGGCGGTGCGGGGAGAAGCCCTTCGGAAGCCTGGCTTGGGTTGGATTCACAAGTGATAAGATTTGTGTTTGGGGGGGAAAAAAAAAGTGAAGCTTTGCATTTGCAGATTTGCACAATTTGCTTTCTGCAAATTAGGTCAACTTCCCAGCCGAGGCTGTTAAGAGGAAACCTGGCTGAGCAGGTAAGGAAGGTAGCACAGTCTGGTCCTTTTAGGAGTAAGGGATGTTTAGCCGGGGGTGGTGGTGCATGCCTTTATCCCAGCACTGGAGAGGCTGAGGCAGGAGGAGCTCTGTGAGTCTGAGGCCAGCTTGAGCTACAGAGCAAAACCCTCAGACATTCATCTGCTGTGTTACTGTCGCCGTGCATTGCTCTGGTGAGGTCCGTACTGTTGGGTGTTAGCAGATGAAGACTGAGTCTTAGAGAGGCTGGAGAATGTGCCTGAGACTTCACAGTTAAGGGCATCCCAGGAGGGTTTGCACCCAGGCCTCCTCCTCAGCCCCATGTGATGCCCTTTTGACTTCAGGCAGAGTCACTCGGGATGGTGGAGACCGAAGACCTCGTCCAGCTCCGGCTGCACAACCTGGGCCTCCTGAGGCGGCTGCGGGCTGGGCAGGCGGCTTTGCAGTGCGCTGTGGCCCAGGCAGTGTCTGAGGTGGGTGCCCAGGGGAGACAAGGGGCCGCCTAACTCCTCAGGGAAGCATCCCGGCCTGCGGGGTCATCTCCCCACGGCCCACTGTGCCGAGGACGCAGAACTGAGGCCTTGGGAGGGAGAGGACCGGGCTGGGACACTGAGGCCGCAGTGGCTCAGGGGCTGAGCCCGATGGGTGGGCCCTGGCTGGCACCCTTGGGTGACCTGGACCTTCTTCTGCAGTTGAGTGTAGACTCCAGCAGCAGCAGCAGCGACTCAGAGACGCCGCTGTCCCCAGAAACATCCTCAGCCCGGTCGAGTGCCTCCTGCTCACAGGACCAGTGGCGCTTGTTGGGCCCCTGGGACACAGCCCAGGCCCACTCCAGGGTGTCCTCTCTGCCTCCTGCCAAGTGCCAACGCCCGGGGGCCCCGGGCCCTCTGAGGCCTCGCTCCGCACCCCTGCTAGCCACCAGTGACCTGCGGCAGCCATCTACAGGGCAGGGTGACCGGGGGCTGCGGGAGGCCCGGGCCCTGGAGTCCAACCCAGCCCAGCAGAGCAGGCCATGCAAGGTACCCTGGGAGAACTGGGCACCCAGGGACGGGCTCCTCAAGCCTCAGTTTTCTTGTCTGATAGATGTGCCCGGGGTCAGCCCCTGTGTAGGACCAGAGGCTTCTGGGAGCTGTGGTGAATCGTGCTGGGTGCAGCCAAGCGCTTGAGCAGTGACTGCTGTTAGTTTTTCAGACTGGTTTGGGAAGAAGGCGATGAGCTTGGAGCTTGTGATCTGGATGGGAAGGCTGAGGCTCAGCGCTCAGAGCTGTTTCAAGCCACAAGTAAAACTTGGCCAAACGCCTGGGCCCAAATCTGGGTGTGCTTGGCAGGTGTGTAATACTGCATAGCTGCAATCCCAGCACTCTGGGAGGCTGAGGCAGGAGGATCGCAAGATCAAGCCCAGCCCGCACAGCTTAGATCCTGTCTCCAAATAAAAAGGGTAGGGCACGGAGCTCAGTGCAGAGGCCCTGGGTCAAACCCCAGTACTGTGGTAAGAGAAAAGACCCAGCCCCTTGGCCTCCCTCCTCAGCCCCGAGTTACCTTCCGTGAGGAGTCCGCAGTGCCTGAGAGCAGCTGGCGCCTCCGTCCATACCTGGGCTACGACTGGATCGCAGGTGAGGCTGCACCCTCACCACCTGGCGTGGGAGGTGGACGGAGGTGGTGCCCCGGCCGGGCTCTGCCCTTCGCTTGAGCGGAGGAAGTGCAGCTGTGGGGTGAGTGAGCGCGTCGGTGCCGCCGGGCCGCTCCTGAGCTCAGGCCGGGCCCAGCTCTTTTCATGTCATTGGCCAGCTTGCTCCTCCCACGGCCTCAGTGGCTTCCTGGCTGATCTCCCTCAGCTCCTTTTGCCTCCTTACCGTCTTGTGAATGTGTTCAGACGTACACACGGCCAGCAGCCAGGCATTCGGGGGGCTGAGGCAGGGCGAGTGACACCGATTCAAGGCCAGGCAGGGCTGCGCAGTGGGTTCAAGCCCAGCCCCTGAAGTACCTAGCGAGACCCTGCCCCCACCAAAGAAAGTGTGTGTGTGAGTGTGTGTGTGAGTGTGAGTGTGTGTGTGAGTGTGAGTGTGTGTGTGAGTCAGTCATAGCAAGGGCTGGGGATGGAGCATTGGCCTGGTGTGCGTGTGGTCCTGAGCTCCATTCCCAATACTGAAAAAAAAAGTTCCAAGGTGATATAGACACATCGGGCCGGGGATTTAGCTCAGTGGTGCTGCCGCCTGCCTCGTAAGCATGAGGTCCCAAGTTTGATCCCCGGTAATAAAAACAAAAACAAAAATAGACACAATCTAACATTTACCGCTTTCACCGTATTTAGAAGCACAGCATGCGTTGTAGCATTGAGTGTGACATATTATTGTGCTGACGTCCCTCTGTCTCTTCCAGACCTCTCTCTCTCTCTCTCTCTCTGTCTCTCTCTCTTTTTGGTACCGGGGATCAAACTCAAGACCTTGCGCTTGCGAGGCAGGTGTGGTGCCACTGAGCTAAATCCCTGGTCCAAGAACTTTGTCTTCTTGCAGAAAACCCTGTGTCTATCTTGCCTCCCTCCTGAGTGCCAGGATTACAAGCATGCGCCACCAGGCCTGGCTGTGATTGACTGTTTAAAGCAGTCAGACCAGGTCACTGCCTTGCTCTTCTCCCCAGAGGTTTCCCTGACTGTAAAACCTGGCACACTGTCCAGACACAAGGTGGGATCTGGCCCCTGCTGTTGCTTTATCCTAACCTCAGGCTACCTACTGCCTCTCTCTGTTCTGGCCTCACTGGACTTGCCGATCCTTGAGACTGCTATGCACATGGCCACCCCAGGGCCTTTGCACTTGCTGTGTCTTCTGGCTGGCATGTGCTTCCCCAGCTTGCTCTCATCGGTCCCTTGTCATCTTGCAAGGCTGAACTCCAAAGCCATGTCTTCTCTGAGCACAGTGTCACATGGGCCACCACCCATGCCACTGCCTGTGCCCTCAGCCAGGTTTCAGCCTGCCCACGGCCATCTTGTATGGGTGTGTGCTGTACCCTCCTTCCCTTTATGTGTTTATTTGCGTGGTTTTTGAGACAGGGCCTCACTGTTGCAGTTCAGGCTGATCTTAAACTCACTGTAGGGTCCAGGCTGGCCTTGAATTCGTGGTGATCCTCCTGCCTCAGCCTCCTGAGTGCTGGGGTCACAGGTGTGCACTTCACTATGCCGACTTGTCCCCTCTGTTCATGCCACTTGTCCGGTTCGTGAGCACCTCCTTTGAGCATCTTCAGTACCTCTCTAGACTCGCACTGCTGCTTCCCACACTGCCTGTCATAGCCTGAGTGGTGCCCCTGCTTCCCCTCATCTAGTGGCAGCCACAGGGGGACTCCTGTAGACATCCGTGGCTGAGCTGATTGTGTCACTCCTTGTCCCCAGACCCTTGATGGGCTTCCTAACCTCATCTTATTCACCTTACCCTTCAGTTCCAGCCATTCCCTCTTCTGGGCATTCTCCAAACACCAAGCGCACTCCTGCCCCAGGGCCTTTGCACCTGCCTTTCACCCACCTTTGTTGCCCTTTGTGGGTATCCACAAGGCTCATCAGGTTTTTGCTTGGCTGTCAACGCTCCTGGCACGGTAGACCTGCCATCATCATCTGCCTGATCCCACTCTCTTGTGCCCCTGAGGGTATCACCATTCAGTGCTGTCTCACGATTTCATGGTGATAGTGTATCTGTCATCATTTTAGAATAAGGGCCTCGTGGGACGGGGGCTTTCACTCCCTGAGCTTTCACTCCCTGAGATTTCCCCGCCCATAAAGCTGACCTAGCCATGGTTGGGGCTCTAGCCCTCCGCCCATGGGTGATCCAATGTTTGGCAGGGTGGGCAGACCATGCCATAATTCTGTAAAACCATCGTGGTGGTGGACGGCCCCCTGCCGGTCTGTGTGGGGTGCAGCACACAAGGGAGCTGGGGCCGCCCTTACCCTAAGCGTGGCAGGGCCCCAGCCCCTGGCTTCAGCACTCGCATGCTTCGTCCTCCACAGGGTCCCTGGACAGCAGCTCACCGGTCAGCAGCAGGCCCAAGGCCTTCTTCTCCGCGCTGCAGGAGTTCCGGGAGGCGCACCGGGAGGAGTGCATCCTCCGTCTGCACCAGTGAGCTGGCTGGCAGGCGAGGGGGCGGGGACCCAGCCGGGGTGCCCGCCACTCACCCCTCTGTCCCCACAGACCCCACCTCCAAGGCCGGGCGGGCGAGGACGCCGAGAAGGACCATGAGTGTGAGTGTCGAGGCTCCGGGACCCCGAATAGTTGGGGGGCTTCGCGGGAATGGGGCATTCTCTGTGTGCACCCTCACGCTGGCCCTGGACTTGCTTCCCAGAGGGCTTGGGCCCGTGTGCTTGGGGACAGCTGGGGCCCCAGCTCAAGGGACCTGGTGCTTCTCATGACTCTTGCAGGCGTGTTCTCCTACGGCGTCAACCGGCGCCTGTTCCTGGTGCCCTCGGACCGGGGCGTCCCCTGCCACTTGTGTGGGACCCCACGGGACCAGCGGGGCCCTGAGACCCTGGAACAGCCCGCACAGGTCCAGTGAGTGGGGGCCGGGACACTGGGACCCCTGGGGGCGGAGATGGGCTGTGTCCTCACCTCACCCCTCTGCAGGGTCAGCGTCCCGCTCTCGGTCCTGGACCCTCCGCACCGGTACCGTGTCCACCGACGCAAGAGCTTTGACGCCTCCGACACGCTGGCCCTGCCCCAGGTGAGCGGCCCCAGGACTGGGTGGGGACGATGCAGGGCCAGCAGCACTCGGAGGCCCGGGGAGGGAGGGCTGCAGGGTCCTGAGGGCGGGCACGGAACAGGCCCCAGGGTGTCTTCTCCCTCACTGTAGCTAGACTGGTCCTGGGGTCAGGGGTGCTGCCCGCTGTGGCTTCCAGGACAGAGCTCTTGGGGAGGGCGGGGACAGTTGCTTCCTGGCTGGGATGGGAGTCAGGCTGTGTGTGTGTGTGTGTGTGTGTGTGTCCCATGCCCCAGCTGAGGGGAGGTGGCTGGGGTTGCATGGGCAGGTGGCTCGCCTGTAGAAAGGGAGTCACAGCACCATCCTACGGTTGGGTGCCTGGGCATCGGGTCCTGCGCTGCCCTCATCACAGTCCTGGGGGCCTCCATCAGGAGCGGGGTGTGGCCCCTAACTCTGCGCCCTCTGCAGCACTGTCTGCTGGGCTGGGACATCGCCCCTCCAAAGCCCGAGAGAAGTGCGGGCCCCAAGAGCCTCGACCTCTGGTCCTCGGTCTCCTCTGTGGCCCCGCACCGGCAGCTGCTGGCTGCCAGCCATTCTCGCCTGGTATGGTTGGGGGTGGTAGAGTCTCGTGGGGGGCAGGATGGGGGTAGGGGGCACGAGGCCCTGTCCTTAGCCCTAGCAAGGCATCCCCTGGACCCTTGCTCCCTCCCCTCCTGCCTTGCCCTGCCCCGGAAGCTGAACCTGACTCTGAGAGTCAGGACCCAGGGACCCTGACATCCCCGCCCCTGCCCAGGCCTTACCAGAGCAGGCCCCGTGCCCGGCTCCGATGTGGTCAGAGCCCTAGGTTCTGCCGGCCCTGCAGTGAAGCCCCGAGGATGCCACCCGGAGGACATTGCTGCCACCCCAGCGTCCTCTGCGGACCGCATGCTGAGGAGGAGGAAGTCCCTGCCTACCTTGGGTCCAGAGAGTGGGGACTCGGGAGGGGGCGAGGGCTTCGGGGCCAGTTTGTAATAAAGTCCAGCTCCTGCTCCTGCCTGTGCACATCTGTCCTGCTGCCCTTGGCGCCCCAGCCTCAGCCGCCCGCCCCTCCCCGAGGAAGGACAGGGGCTGCCTGGTGCTGGCACCATTCCTCACTGTGGCCGTGGTGCCCCTCGCAGATGGTGTCCTGTGGACTGTGAGGGTCTGAAACAGACCAGGGCCAAGGCCAGATGGAGGCAAAAAGCAGCAGCTGGGAGCTGAGCATGGTGGTGCAGGCCCATGATCCCAGCTCTCTGGGAGGCTGAGGCAGGAGGATGGCAAGTTCAAGCCAGCCTGGGCAACTTAGGGAATTGGTGAGACCCTGCTCAAAATAAAAATAAAAGGGGCAGCCAGGGATTTGGCTCAGTGATGTCACCACCTTCCTCGCAAGCGCAAGGACCTGAGTTTGACCCCAAAGAAAGGGGGTGGGGGCTGGATGTAGCTCAGCACGAAGACCCTGTATCCTTGTCCTGTTGTGTGTGGTGCAGGAGACCGAACCCAGGGCCTTGCATGTCCGAGGCCATGCTCTGCACTGGGCCACACTGCCACCCTTCCTGTTAAGGCTGAGTAATGTTTCATTGCGCGGATAGATGCCATGTTGTTGGCCCACTGTTCCCTGGATGGCACAGGTCACAGTGCAGAGCTCTTTGGGACCTTGCTTTCAGTTCTTTTGGATCTAAACCTACAGTGGAGCTGCTGGTTCCTGTGTCATTCTGTTTTTTAGTTTTGAGAACCACTGTACTGATTTGCTTACCTACTAGCAGTACACAAGCATCCTGTCTCCGTCCTTGCCAAGACTTGTTCTCTGTTTTAGTTTTGTTTTGTTTGAGACAGTCTCACTAGGTAGTTCAGGTTGACCTCGAACTCCCAGCAATCCTCCTGCCTCAGCTTCCTGAGTGCTGGGATTACGCCTTGGGCACCTCCTCTGCCATGAGATCAGTGTCGCCCAGAAGTCAGTGCCACCTGGGGTTCACTCTCCTACCTTCCGGCGATAAAGGACGTCACTCTGGCCCCTGGGAGACGTCCAGGTGCAGTCTCTCAGGTCTCTGCCCCACAGGCTCTGTCACCAGGAAGGGGCTGTGGTGACCGGTGGCTGGCAGAGGACAGCTGAGCTGTGCAGGAGGAAGTCCCGTGGGGAAGCCCGGGCTGCTGCGGGTGGTGACAGTCCTCAGTGACGGGTGCCTGCTGGTGGCCTAGGTGGTCCCTGGGGACATCCCCTGGCGTGGCACTGAGCTGGCCCTGACCACAGGTGCTGTCGGGACTCCGTGTCTGTGGCTAAGGGCCGACAGCATTTCTCTTCCAAGACTCCAGGCCCCCAGCAGCCTCTGAGACTCGGGGCCAGTGCCCTGCTCCGAAGGTGAGGAGCAGGCCGAGGAGGGAAGAGGCCCGAGGCACCCTGGCCTTGGGTCTGGTGCGTGTGGCAGCGTCCTGTCCCGGAGCTGGATCCAGAGAAGCCCAGTCTGAGGGAGGCCGGCTGTCTCCACTTCTCATTCCCGACGGTTCTGACCTCCACCTGGGCTGGTCCTGGGGACATCCCACCGCCCAGCTGGTGAGGAGCAGCCGCCCCGAACCTCTGGGGTGACCTCATTAGGAAGCAGCCTTTCACTGTAGCCCTGGGCAGGACCCCCGGTGACTGAGGCCTGGTTCTGGTGCTTTCCTCCAGGACGTGGGTCACGTTGGCTCAGGGCTCTTGCCAAACTCCTCATCTTAATCTCTATCTAGATCTTTGGCGGGGCATAGGGTCTTTCTGTACAGTTCAGGTTGGCCTTGAACTCGTAGTGATCCTCAGCCTCCTGGATACTGAGATTATAGTCATGAGTCACCATACCTGACTTTTTTTTTTCCATTCTTCCTGGTACTGGGGATCGAACTCAGGACCTTCTGCTTGCAAGGCAGGCACAATGCCACTGAGCTAAACCCCTGGCCCTACCACACCTGGCTTTAATCTCCTCTTTAAAGACTCTGCCATATTCTGAGGGACAAGGACTTCAGTGCATGAGTCTGGGGGTGGGGCATAATTCAGTCTGTAACACTGAGGCCATCCTTTCCCATGAAAATTAATTCCCAACATCCTTGGGGGACTAATATCTAGAATATATAAAGAATTCAAGGCCGGGTGTGGTGGTGCACGCCTGTAATCCTAGCACTCAGGAGGCTGAGGCAGGAGGATCGCCGTGAGTTTGAGACCAGCCTGGGCTACATAGTGAGTTCCAGGTCAGTCTCAACTACATAGTGAGACCCTGTCTCAAAAAAAATAAAATGAAAAAAAAAAAGACATCATCTTCCAGTGATCCATGTGTACCCATGTTTATAACAGCACAAATCATAGTAGCTAAATCTTTTTTTTATAATAGCTAAATTTTGGAAGCAGTCTGCATGTTGGTGAACAGATAAATAAAGAAAATGTAGGGCCGGGGATTTAGCTCAGTGGTGCTCAATTCAATCCCTGGTAACAAGGAAAAAAAAAAAAGTTTTTACATGCAGTGGAGTGCTACTCTGCCAAAAAGAAGAGTAAACTTGAATCATTTGTAAGAAAATGGATGCACCTTGGGACCAAATGGGGTTTTTTATTTGTTTGTTCTTTGAGACAGGGTCTTACTATGTAGCTTAATCCGGTCTTGAACTCTGTGTAGCCCAGGCTGGCCTCGAACTCGTGGCAATCCTCCTGCCTCAGCCTCCTGAGTGCTGGGACTACAGGTGTGCACCACCACGCCCGGCTCATAATGTTAAGTGAAATAAATCAGACACACAAGCTTCAATATCACATGGTTTCTCTTATGTGAGAAACCCAAATTATAATTAAAGAGCAAAATAAAAGATAACAGGAAGTAGGGAGACTGAGCTCAGATGGGACGAGTATAAAGAGGGAGGGGAAGGAGGGAAGGAGTAGGGGATAGAAAAAGAATGAAGAGGCGTGAGGGCCACGTGCCAGCTCCTCTCCAGGAGCGGAAGCCTCCGTGCCGCACACGTGGGTGCGCACAAAACGACTCCGGAACCCAGTCCTGCACCTGTGCGCGCGCGAAACTTGCCCGGGTGGCCGCGGGGCCCCCGCTGGCCTGGGAGGCAGCTCTGCACGCGCACTCTGCCACCACACTCACACCCACGCTCGCGCAGTGTTCACGGCGCACACGGAGCTTGCCCTCCACGCGAGGCCGAGCGGTCCTAACCCTCCCGCAGCCGTTCACACCCGACTCGTCTGCACGAGCGGCGTGTCCTCACACTCGGACACAAGCCCCGCCCCCACGTGTGCACGTACCCGGGCCTCAAGAGCACAGCCTGCTCACACCCGCACGCTCCACCCTCGCACACTCGTGTGCACTCGCACATGGATCCCTGGCACGCGTCTTCACACTGACAGCCTCACGCGCGCACCCCTCCGCCCTCAGCCTCTTGCGTGCCCAGAGCCCACACACGCACACGTGCATGCGCGTGTCGCATGAGTCCTGTCACTGTCGCCAGGCCCGGGATTCACTCCCCACCTGGCAGTCTGGGCTGTGTGTCTTTCACAGAAGCCACCACCTCTCAGGCCTCTCAGTTTCAGTCTCACTTTTCATTCTGACTCCTCTGTCACAGTGCTGCAGCCGGCACCCAGACCCCAGCCCCCCGGCACATCTCTGGGACGTGTCCCCCTGTGGGTTGCACACATCGCCCTGGTCCTGTGCCCCAGGCCGAACCCAGCGCGGCCACTGCGGGCAGAGTGATGCCTGAAAGTGCTGCTGCCGCTTTTTATGGAAAGAGGGCAACACAGAGGCACGCGGTGTCGCGGTACCAGGGCAGAGTCTTGGGACAATCTGGGACAACCCGAGTGCACCTGCCGGGAGAGCTTTCGGGCCTCAAACTGCAGCTGTCGGCTTCCTTCCTTCCCAGTCACCTGGGGGAGAGCAGGAAGCTGGACCCAGGAATCGCAGAACTGGCGGTCCCCTCCCTCCACAGTCCCTCTGTCCCTTCTTGCCTTCCATCTTTTCTTCCTGGGGACACCCAGGGACCACTGAGCTACATTTCAAGCCCTTTTTAATTTTGAGACAGTATCTTATTCAGTCACGGAGTTGCCCAGGCTGAAGTTTGAACTTGGGATCCTCCTGCCTCAGCCTCACAAGTAGCTGGGATTACAGGCCTGTGCCATCACCCCAGCTGAATGTCTTATCTACAAAGTAGCCTTTATAAGGCCCATCTCCTGGGATGTGGAAAGAAATAAATGGAAAGAACAGCTGTTTTGGTCTGAAGGACGCTCCCCGCCTCCACGCATATTTGGAGAAAGGGCCTTTTCAGGGGCAATTAAAAGGGCAAAGCTCATAAAGGCTCTTGAGATTGCTGAAAGAGGCAGGAAGCCCAGCAGTGCACACACGGAGAAGCAGCTCTGTGAGGTAGTGAGAAGGTGGCTTCCAGGGCTCACAGGAGGACTCCAGAGGAACCGGAACCGTTCATGTCTGGATCTTGGGCTTCTGGCCTCCAGAAGTGCGGGAAGACAGATTTTTGTTGTTCAAGCCACCCAGTCAGTGGTGGATTTTTGTTTGTTTTGTTGAGACAGGGTCTCGTTACGTAGTCCAGGCTGGTCTTGAACTCACTGTGTAGCCCAAGCTGGGCTACAAACTCATGGTGATCCTCCTGCCTCAGCCTCCTGAGTGCTGGGGTTATAGCCACCACGCCCGGCTCACATACATGCTGAAGGTAATTTTCTATGCTACTTTGAGTGTGCCTGTGTTTTCACTGCAACCCAACACGTGAGGTCAGGTGCAGAATTCTCCACTTGTGTTATGTTGTCACGAAAAACATTTAGGAGCCAGGATGTAGCTCAGTGGCACTGCGCCCTCCTGGCAAGCGCAAGGTCGTGAGTTTGATCCCTGGTACCAAAATAAAAAAAGTTTAGATTTTGCAGCATCTTGGCTTTCAGAGCTCCCGATGAGGGACGCTACTCTCTCTCTCTCCCTCCCTCTCCCTCTGCTTCCCTCCCTCTCCTTCCCTCTCTTTCCCTCCCTCCCTCTCTCTCCCTCTCTCTCCCTCTCTCTCCCTCTCT